GTAAATAGTTCTGTTTTTTGTTTTTTTTTTTTTTTTTTTAATGTTTCTTTTCCCTTCTCCCGCAGCAGCAATTACAGAGCAGGCAGAAGCAGGCAAGCCCGCAGGAGTCGACGAGGATCCTGCAGCGGCCGGGCTCATCAAAACAAAAAGCGGGGTTGCCCTGGCAGGCGGCAAAGGCTTACAGGATGCGTTTTATTTTTCCCCTCCCCTAAGACACGATTTCACGAAGCGCTTAGCTGGCTCTGAGGAAACCTGCCGCCCCTCTCCTGCCTCCCTGGGGAGGAGCTGCTTGCTGCCTTCTCAGGTCCTGATTTCTCCCTCTGCATCCAGCTGGAGCTCAGGGAGCCCACGGACAACCCCGCGACAAGCATGTGCCACGGGTCCCATCCTGCTCTGAAGCATCTCTCCTACGAGGAAAGGCTGAGGGACCTGAGCTTGTTCAACCTGAAGAAGAGAAGGCTGCGAGGGGACCTTAGAAATGCTTGTAAATATCTGAAGGGTGGGTGTAGGGAGGATGGGGCCAGACTCTTTTCAGTGGTGCCCAGTGACAGGACAAGGGGCAATGGGCACAAACTGAAGCATAGGAAGCTCCGTCTGAACATGAGGAAGAACTTCTTCCCTCTGAGGGTGACGGAGCACTGGAACAGGCTGCCCAGGGAGGCTGTGGAGTCTCCTTCTCTGGAGATATTCAAGCACCGCCTGGACAAGGTCCTGTGCAGCCTGCTGTAGGTGACCCTGCTTCGGCAGGAGGGTTGGACTGGACTAGATGACCCACAGAGGTGCCTTCCAACCCCGACCATTCTGTGATTCTGATTCTTCCCACCTCCAGCATCTTTCCATCACTCATCTGGGTGAGTACAGCCAGAGGGACCTGCACTACTCTAACAGCACTAGTTTGGGGGTTTTGGGCTGGTTGGTTTTTTTTTTAAACCTTATCTCAAGCACAGCGGCACTGACGCAAACATCTCCAGATCTTCAGCTGCACACACACTTCCAAGCTTAGGGACAAAAGCACGTCCCAGCAGGGGAAGGCTAAGCAGTACTGTGCATCTGCTGTTTATTTGGATTGGTGTTTCTGGTCCTTAAAAACACCCAGCTGCTCGGGTTTCGTGGCTGGCACCACTCAGATCTCTGGAAGAGAAGGCCAGCAGCAGGAGGACATCTTCAACAAGAAGGGCTGTCTGCTGCTTTGGTCCCTCACCCTCCGGGCTGCCCAGCAGCAGGCAGAGCTAGACCTTTCTGGCTGAGGCACCCAGTCTCCACGGCAAAAGCAACAGAATAATGAAGTGAGCTCTGCTCAGCCACTGGATCTCAGTTCATCACTCCAACTCCAAAGACAGTGTATAGGGTAACAAAAAAACACAGAAAGAAAGGAACTGGTGCAAGGCACCACTAAAGAGCAGATCTGGTTTCAAGTGGTTTCGGTGCTGCTCTCTGTGCCCAGGGCAGGAGCAGCTCTCGACACGAAGGCAAAAGGTCCAAGCAGGACGGGGCGGCCACGATCCCAAGGAGCATCCCCAGCCCAGCATCGACGTCCCACACCACACGGGTAAAGGTACGGGTAAAGGTGCTCCCCAGCCACCTCCACCTACTCCATCACCTGGAGGTTTTAGGGTGCGAGGAAAGCAGACCAGGCTGGGGAACGCTCTCATTTTCACCTCCCCGCATCGGGGCAATGGCTCAGACCAGCAGAACTTGGCGCTCGGCTGCTAAGAAACCCTCGGGGCAGCAGCACCCCGCAGGCGACGTGGGCACGACCCACCTTCCCACCGCCCAGCTTGATGGTTCCATCTCCACGGTCGCATCTACACCGTGCCTCCAGCATCCTCTAAATAACTGCAGGCTGCAGGAGAGACCCAACGGGCACCTCAACTGGAACAGTCAAGAGCTTTTAGGGGGCCAGAAGCTTCCCAGGCACGTGCGTGGGGACGCGGCAGGGAAAACCGGGGTGCCGCCTCGAGACAGTCTACGTCTCGGGCTGCGTACAGCGATGCCCTACGGCCAGCCCAGCAGACAGGCAGCAATAAACCTAAAAAATAAAAAAAATGAAAGAAAAAAAGACAAAAGCCAGCTAAACGCAGGGCATTGAGCCCAGCAGAGAAGAGCAGGAGCAGAGAGCTGTCAGCGAGCAAGGACCGACAGTGCTGAACTGACACTCTGGGAACCATTTTTCAGTAAAACCTGCAGAATTTGGTAGAAGTGGCAGCTGGCTCCATGGCAATGCCTCGACAGAGGCCGGGGACAGGCTGCACAGCCGGCCACCCTTCCCGAAGGTCAGCTGCACCCTCCGCCGACCAGCACCGGGAAGTCGATTGCCACGTTAAAAGAGGAAAAAAATAAAATAAAAATTATAAAACAAACCCAGAAAGACAAATAAACTGGTCTGGAAGTTTTACGGTAACTTTGCAGACAGGAGGAGCCCATCTCCTGCCCCGCTCACTGTAAAAACAATCAAGTTATTCAGAAAAAAATTGCCAGCGAGGAGAGCATCGCAGAGCAAAGCAAACTTCTGCTTCTTGCCACGGGACGGGCTATTTCAGCTGGTGTGGGGTTTGTGAAACGGAGAGTGTGGGGCTCACCCTGCTCAGCAGCCCCTCCAACAC